TTAGACAGCATCTGATCATCGGACGTATGGCGTGAGGATGAGAAGAAAACAGGCTCAATAAAAATATGGAACACATTTTGACGAAAATTCTCCACGTTCAAATGGTAAATTTGTTCCATGTCCCTTTCCACCACACCACAAACGGAATGGGACAAACTATGTGCCTACCTGGGCAAAACAAAATACTTGACCTTTTGTCGGTCAAGTCACTGAAAAAAACGAGGGAATCTCATGCTAATTGGTGAGCGGGAAGTATATTTGCATAGTGTTGCCATGCCAAAAGTGGGTATGGTTACCTATTTGCATAGTGTTGCCATGCCAATAGTGGGTCTAGGTATATGCATACTGTTGTGATGCAAATATATATGCGGGGTACATACTTAATGAATGGTGTCTACACGTAGCAGTAAGGTCAGGGAGTATTTACATACTAATGAAAGGTTACGACGGTGGCTTCTTTTGAAATTTTGGAGGGAAACGTTATGGCAACTCGTATAAAATCAAAGGGCACACAAACACACCTTCAAATACTAACACACACAAATAATAAATACAAACAAATTAAATTCTATGTGAAGATGTTTTTTAATAAAAAATAACACTGAAAAAAGGTTTAGTTTCCCGGTGAAACAATGTTCATATAAAGTTCTTGAAATATCTCTGCGCCTTTCTCATAGTAGAGATTGACAACAGAGATTATCAACGGAATATATATATTGTGGAACGGATCCAGCTTGTTTTTAGCGGTCACTAGTTTAAGCAAAATACACACAAGTTACTACTACAGCACGAGCTACGAGTGAACTCGAATTACAGTTTTGTGCGAATAGAGAGCTTGGCTCCATTGTGTGAACGAATATTAAAATACTCTTAATATATACAGTATATATAGATATATATATATAAATCCTCGCGGATAGACGATATCAAAATAAGATAGTCAGAGTCTATGATATAAAAGTCTGGTTTACTTCTTGGCAGCAGCTTTCTTCGCGGGCTTCTTCACCTTCTTGGGTTTTGCTGCCTTTGGTTTGGCGGCTTTCTTTGCTACTGGTTTCTTCGCTTTTTTCGCTGCTGGTTTCTTGACTTTCTTTGCCTTTGGCTTCTTTGCAGCTGCCTTTGGTTTCTTTGCCTTAGGCTTCTTGGGTTTCTTTGCCTTGGGTTTCTTCACTGCCTTTTTCTTTGGTGCCTTTTTCTCGCCGACACGGAAACTACCAGATGCTCCCTTCCCCTTCGTGTGTTTTAGGGCACCGCTGGTTCCCATACGTTTGAGTGCCAATCGGAGATGTACGTTAGCAACTTTAGCATCGCCAACTTTGTAGTTAGCGATGATGTATTTCAGAATGGCCTGGCGGGATGAACCACCCCGTTCCTTGAGTGCTTCAATGGCCTTTACGATCATCTCGCTGTATTTTGGGTGAGCTGCTGGTGCCTTTGGCTTTCTGGGCTTCTTTGCCTTGACGGGTTTAGCTACGGCGGCGTCGGACATGTTGAATTGTTTCTGAGTCCTCTCTGGATACAACACTACGTAACAGAAGAATGAAGCTGATTGAACCGAACCGGGACCGCCGTTGAAATAAATAGAGTATGTGCGGACGTCGGAGAGAGCATCATAACATAGGCTGGGAGTTCGCCATGAAAATGGCTGCTTGTGTGTAGCTATGTGCTTGTTACTCTAACTACACCCATAATATACGCAAATAAACCACTAGTTGGCGAAGCATTTTTAGGCGACTGAAAAGATGAGATATCGGGCTTTCATTTGAGATTTGTAACACTCCTTGGTGTCCAATATTCATGGATTGCGCTTGATTTTTTTACCGTAACTTTGTTCTTGCAAATCGCATACTTCGAATTCAACGTGTCACTTTTCGTGTTTCGTTTATGTGGTTCAACAACAGTTGGGTTTGATAGAAACTCTATTATATCCTCTTCATTTTGGGCGAGGGTGTTTAATTTCTGGTGTTTTCTCACTGTGTTCGTGGTCTAATCAAAAAAGGGTAACAAGCACATCATTCACCATCCGCCATCTTGTGCTGCTGGAGCTAGCCCGCCAAAAATACTAGATTTTCACTTTTACCCCTAAATTTCGATTAAAATATCTTAGACAGCTCAAAAATTACATTTTCGACACTTTAAAATAAAGGGGAAGATCGTCTTAGTACGATCTTGCTGCGATTTGCAACGGCCAAAACTGCCCTGCCGAGAACAGCATTCATTGTCGATCTACGTCACACTTTTTCAAAGGTATTTGCCACAGTATTCCAATAAAAATGCGATTTGGGTGGAATGTACTTAGAATATGATACACAAA